TTATGTACTGCACTGAGTTGCAGCTGTACAGCTCTGTCTGTCAAGTTAACTAATACCTAACAGTTTTAAACTTCTTTTATTAATTAATTTGGGTTTTCTTGCCACAGTCTCATTCTATTGTTGCCTTTTCCCGTTGTCATTAATGCTATGCTCTCTCCATCGACTGTCTAACAAACGTGCGGTGCAGTGTTGATAACGGTGGATGCGCACACTCTGGACTTTTTAAGGTTGTGGTGATGATGTTGCTTTTTCTGATCATTCCTGTGTTGTTTTTGAGACTGTCTATCTGCACACAGATGTTTAAACGGAGATAATCACAAAAGTTACATCCCTGAAAACACCAGTGAAGTGTGAGCAACACTGGACTGGATCACTCTGAACCAGATACAGACATTTCAGCACTACCAAATCCAGATTACCAGTGCTGTAAATGGGACTACACATCACAGTGTTTTTGGCTTTTTCCCTCTCCTTTATTGAGTTATATATCTTTTTTATGCATGTACTAGGTTTGCAAAGTGAAAAAGCCCAAAGTCCAGCCCAAAGGGAGTTCCCATCTCCCACAGAAAACTCTGCTCTGGACTGCCTGAAAACAGCTTGTTTTTACTCCAGCCTTTACTTCCCTTTCTTGTGACGTCACAATGAAAATACGTGTCATAATGCTCACCTAGCAGCTAGTCAGACACGCCCTCAAAAACACCAGTGGAAAAACAGTGAGCTGCACCACAGCTCTCCTCTCCCTGCCAAACACTAGCTACCCTCCAGGCAGTCAGTGGACATAAAGTTGTTCCTGTGATGTAGAGACAGAGCTCAGTTAAAACTTTATGGATGAAAGATACTTTTGTTACAGATTAATGACTCGCCACTCTGAAACTCTTGCTCCAGTCTATGTTGCCAAGCTGGTCAGCTACAAATACCTTGGGGTGCCGCAGGCAAACAGAAACCATGAGGAGGCAGCAAGGAAGTCCACCACAGCCAACAGAATACAACAGTACAACAGAAAGATGGTCCCCAAAGACAAAGGGCTTAGTGAATACCTCAGGCAGCAGAAACCCGAGGGTGAGGACAAGGAAGATGAAGAACCTTCATGGAGAGACGCTCCATCCAGAGCCGCTGCACGGCATGTACCACAGACAAATAGAAGAAGTGGTTGATATCCAGAAATCCTACCAGTGGCTGGAAAAGGCTGGACTGAAGGACAGCACAGAGGCACTAATCATGGCGGCACAAGAACAGGCACTCAGTACAAGATCAATAGAGGCTGGGGTCTACCACACCAGGCAGGACCCCAGGTGCAGACTGTGCAAGGATGCCCCTGAGACAGTACAGCACATAACAGCAGGGTGTAAGATGCAGGCAGGAACAACATACATGGAACGCCATAACCAGGTAGCTGACCGAGCTAAGATCCTGTGGGACTTCAAAATCCAGACTGACAAACTGGTGACGGCTAACCAACCAGACATCTTGTTGATCGACAAACAGCAGAAGAAGGCTGCAGTCATAGATGTGGCAATCCCAAGTGACAGAAACATCAAGAAGAAGGAACACGAGAAGCTTGAGAAATACCAAGGGCTGAAAGAGGAGCTAGAAAAGATGTAGAAAGTAACAGCAACAGTGGTGCCAGTGGTAATCGGAGCACTGGGGGCTGTGACCCCCAAACTGGGAGAGTGGCTACAGCAGATTCCAGGTATAACATCAGAAGTGTCTGTCCAGAAGAGTGCAGTCCTAGGAACAGATACTGCACAGAAAAAATAAATGTGGAAATGTGGAAATGCAGGCTTAAATAAATGTAGAAATAAATAAATACATATAGAAATAAATGTAGAAATACAGAAATAAATTCATGTAGAAATGCATAAATACAGAAATAGCCTTTTATTACAAAAATATACTTAATTTTAATTTATTTATGTATTTAATCATTTATTTCTGCATTTATTTATTTATTCCATTTGTTATTTTTGGTCCGTCATACACATATCAACCTTCTTTAAATAAATAATTGAAAAGACAGATTCAACAGTTGAATGCTTTTCTTGGCCATAAACAATTGTTTTGACAATTGATTTTCCAGACAGAATGTCGACCACACCACAGAGACTGCTCTTGAAGCTCTTCTATGACATCCATTTAAACACAAACAGTGGAGAAGTTTAAGTCTTGATGTCTTTACATCTCAGTTCATATAGAATATTATTAGACCAATCTGAAAGACTGGGGGGGGGGCACAGTAACACGGTCTGAATACTATTTGAGGGATCCAACGAAGGTTGAAATCAAGGGCAACTGGACTTGGTTGAAGATACTGGAAGACGTTTCGTCCCTCATCCAAAGGACTTCTTCAGTTCTGACTGACTGGCAGGGAAACTCAGCTATTTAACCTCAGTGGGGTCGTTGGCCCGGGTCATCGATACCGCTGGTTCGTTAGTGTTCCTTGTTGCTGTGACGACAGTCGTTACAGTCGTTAAGACTACCTGTGGCCGAGACTGAACGACCATCGTTGGTATCTTCACCTGAGGCCAATAGGAAACTCAACAAACGTAACCTATTGTGATTAGTGGGATAAGTTGGCGACATGTAATGTTTACACATTACATGTCGCCAACGGCTGCTTTACTTCAAAAGATTTGACTGGATAACCTGAAGTGACCACTGCTGTGCCACGTGTGTAAAAATGTTCTTAATATGTTGACACTCGGATCCTCCCTGCTGCTGTGTGATGGCTAAGTATTTAATAATAAATATAAAAAACGAATTATTCAATGACATGTAAGCATAATAGGCTAGATTTATTAATCTATTGCTTTCCTAAGCCTCCTGAGTAACCCTTGTCCTGCATGTTTTAGATCTCTCCCTGCTCCAACACAGCTGGTTTAGCTTGTTGTCAGGCAGATTCAGGAGTTCAGTATTTCAGTTCTGACAGTGTGTATTTAAGTATCTACACAGATGAGGGTGTGTTGTGTTTACCTAGTTTGATCAGAGTGATCTTTCCAGGATACTGATTGGTGAGGTCTCTCAGGGCCTGAATGGAACAGAGGGAGACATGGAGAATGAAAGAAACATAGGTGATAAGGGAAGACTGTATGGACAGAGACAGACAGAGAAACTAACTAAATAATTAACTAATTTCACAGGTGGTCTAAATTCAGTGACCCCTGCTGGTGTGTCCAAACAAAACATTTACAGTGATTTGGGCCTCGGCAATAAAAATGGAACTGATCAATTTTAGCAGTGATTTAGTATATACTTATTTACTACTTTAATGCAAGCATGATATTAAGTTGTGGACACAGACAAAAACTCATAGCTGCAAAATACATATTAAGATTAATTATATACCATCTAATACTAATTCATAATTTAATTCAAAATGGAGTTTTTCCTTGCCTCTGTGGCCAAGTGCTTACTCAATGTGGGTATCATTGTGTCTCTGTAAATATTACAAAGAGTACACTAGAGTACTGAACATTTCTTGGTCCTACGTCTGTATGGACGTACAGATAAAACTCTTATCTGCCAATGACCTGGAGATGCTGGACTGTTTGATTAAAGCTCCTGTTGTTGCATGAGTAATATTTGGATAATATGTAAATGACAGTCATGATTACGCAACTTACAACTTGTTCACTTGCACTTGACATTCAGAAGAACCACCTAGTCACTGAGGAACCCCTCCAGTGTTTCAATATGCTTGGACCGTGATACTGTCCAGGGTTACACCCACAAGTTTAGTCTCAAAGGTTGCTCTCTATGAGCAACCCAGTCTCCTGAAGATCACATTTATGTAACTAATAAGCAATAGCAAATTAATTATTAGGGAAAAGTTATAAGTGCAAAGTGACAAAATGTTCATTCTGTATGTCTCAACAAAACGCTGACTGACAGCGTATTTCATTGGTTTTCTCTACAACTCTCCTCCAAGAAGAACAATAGCATCAGTTGTTTCACCAAGTTGCTGTTTTATTTATTTATTTTATTAAATTTTTAATATATTTCAATTTTTCTAACACAAACACACACACGCTTTAATTACTTTACGCTTTAATTACTTGTTTAATGAAATGTATGGGGTTGATTGTTCTTATGTACTTTGTATGATGCTTTGGCAATATTGTTGTTACACATTCATGCCAATAGAGCTAATTTGAATTTTAATCCAAACATGATCTTGATAATTACCACTCTATAATGCTGAAAGTCATCCTCCCTTATGTTTCAACATTCCCTAAAGGTAAAACTGGACCACTGATGTTTCATGCTGTGACTTTTTACCTTGAAACACCTGTGTACCCAGTGAATCAGGGCTGAAAAATGCAACAACAGGTGTCACTGCTTAATTATTACCACTTTAATATCACACTGTTACCCAACTATTGTCATGTTAAATCCTAGCTGTAATGTAAAGCTCAACTAAAAAATATTTTAATAAACTTAGTTAAATTAAGTAGTTAAATTAGGACAACAGCACATAAAAAATCTCTCAGTACTCACAAGTTATTTTTAAGTCATTAAAAAGTCTTCCTCATGTGTTGTGGGTCCATTGCACACAGAGAAACCGTAACTCTTGATCTGTAATTGTCTCACCTCAGCGCTGGTTCCAGCAGGTTCTCTGCAACAGGCATAGATGTGAGCCACCTCTCCTGTCTTCTCTGCCAGCTGTTTCACCAGCTCCAAACCAATGCCTCTGTTGGTCCCAGTCACTAAAATGTTGCCTTCCAGTTTCTCTGACATGTTTGCTGATCAGCTGTCAAACCCCACCAGCTGTCTGACTACACTCTCTTGACAATGACTAAGCATGTGTGAGAGCACAGTGTTGTTGTAATGCTAGTCCTGTGTGCGTCATTGATAGAGGTGTGTACTGTGCAAGAAGGAAGGAGTAAGCCTCTCACCTCTCTGTGTGTATACACAGGACACCTACTGCACATTTGGACCACCTTTAACTTACATTTTATTATATACATCATATATATATATCATCTGTCATCTTATCAGCCAGCCAGCACCCTCCCTAAAGTGTCCCTGTTTGACTTGGAGTGACATTTTGTCCTTCTGGGACTCCAGTACTGAGCTTTGTCTGTCAACAGAGTCTTCTCTGGCCCCATAGTCATGCTTTGCTCATGAGCTAACCGCTTATTTGTCCTGACACGTGCTTGCCGTTTTGACAGCGGGAACATTTAAAAATGTGGTAATTCAGGATATACAAGATACCATTTGTCCCCTAAGAGTGAAGTTTGATATTGTCCCACAGAGAATGAGTACATCTGCGATGATGTCAAGACAAGAATATGTGGAAAGTTTGTGGTTAACCGCAGCTGCAGAAATATAAAGTTACCACTTGCCAGAAAGTAAAGAATTGTGCCTCTTCCTGTTTCAGGGACACCATTTTGAGTAAGGACAACCAGACGGAATGTGCTTAAGTATGAAGGTATTTTTGTGTCTTTTTAATTCAAGCAAAAAACGCCAACGCAAACCCATGATTGGTCAGTCAAACCACCAATAGAATCTCTTATTTAGACCTTTTTTGACTCGCAAAACTTTTCAACTTGCAAAACTCTCTCACTTAAAAACCAGTTGAACCTGCAAAACTTTTTGACTTGCAAGTAAAACTTTTTAACTTGCAAAACTATTTAACTTGCAAAACGTTCTAACTTTTTAACTTGCAAAACTATTTAACTTGCAAAACGTTCTAACTTTTTAACTTGCAAAACTATTTAACTTGCAAAACGTTCTGCCTCGCAAGTAAAACTTTTTAACTTGCAAAACTATTTAACTTGCAAAACGTTCTAACTTTTTAACTTGCTAAACTTATTAACTTGCAAAACTTTCTGACTTGCAAGGAAAACTTTTCAACTTGCAAAACTCTCTCACTTGCAAACTGGTTGAACCTGCAAAACTTTCTGACTTGCAAGTAAAACTTTTTAACTTGCAAAACGTTCTAACTTTTTAACTTGCAAAACATTCTGCCTCGCAAGTAAAACTTTTTAGCTTGCTAAACTTATTAACTTGCAAAACTTTCTGACTTGCAAGGAAAACTTTTTAACTTGCAAAACTATTTAACTTGCAAAACGTTCTAACTTTTTAACTTGCAAAACTATTTAACTTGCATGTTCTGCCTCGCAAGGAAAACTTTTTAACTTGCAAACAATAAGGACAAATTAGCAATTAAAACTTTAATGACACAAAAAAAGGCCTGTTTATTTTTAATTACAAACTTAATTTTTGATTGCAGTGTGATAAATTTTTTTGCTTGCATTAAAAAGACACACAAATACCATCATACTTAAGCCTCTCACAATCAGGCAGCAATAGATAGAACACTCATCTTGTCAATCCAAATGCTTGGTTGTTGCAATTTAGTTTTACACTAAATTTCAGCTGCATCTTTAAAGCTGCTCCAACTGATATTTTCAGATTAACAATCGCTGAAATGAATGTGTGAAATGTTTAAAGAACTGCTCACAAACCCACAGATAAAGATCACCAATTCTATCTCTCCTCAGCTCTATACAGCCCACAACTTTGTAGTTTTGGTTCACTCTCAGCTTTCACCAACCTTGTTTCCAGCAGCAGCAGGCAGTTGTTTTCAGTGAAAACCTTCTGTAGGGATCTTCCCATCAAAAATTAATTTGAGCTCTCCACTTTGGGTGTATATAATTTCTTATACCATGGTGGAACCCTAAATTCCATGATAATTCTTTTTCTGGCATCCTCTCTTTATTTATAACATTCTTTTTAAATCAATGGCACATCCTTCCTATTATTCCCTCATTGTCTCATCCCCTCCCTGTGCTCAAAATCCCCAAGGCTCTGCACAGCGGCGTAGAGTACACCACCAAACATACAGATACAAAAATAAATATAACAACACACGAATATGAAAAACACACCAATCAAGGGAAAATGCTTTTTAAAGAGACATCTTGGTATTCTAATACAAATAGACACTGGCTTTCCATAAATTCTATTATGGTGACCAAGTTTTATTTTGTATTTGCTCTAGCTCAGCTGGTAATATGGACAGCACTTGTTTCACCTGGTGTTTAAGATTATCAGAATCAGGAAAGGTACAAGGTAGATTTATTTGTCACAATAAAAAAAACAGGTTATATATTGAAATTTAGTTTGTAACTCCCTTCTGCTACATAGCACACAATGTACATTAATATAAAAGTCAATATAAAAATAAATAATGATAATAAACAGAATTAAACTAAATTCAACGGAGCAGTGCTGAGGATGAATTAGAGTTTAAGAGTCTGATACCTTGGGGGGAAAAGCTGCTCTGCAGTCTGGTGGTGCGGCAGCAGAAACTCCTATATCTCTACCCAGAATGCAGCGGGGTGAACAGGCTGTGTCTGGGTGGGTACTGTCCTTTAGTATCCTTTTAAAAGAATATTTATAAATAGCATGCTGGGACTGGGTTCAAATGTCTCCATGTATACAGTATGTGTATAAGCCTAAAACATAACTGCAGGAATCAGCATGACCAAAACAGCCCAGTCAGCAGGCCTATCTGTGTTTCACCATTCCTCTGACGGATATTCCCTCATTTACATCCCCCACCTTTATTTAATCAGATCATCTCATTGAGATCCAGAGAGAGCTGAGTGCAGCAGATAGAAAGAAACACCAACACGGCCAGACATACAGCATCAGAGACAGTCACACACACCACTACATGGATCTGAAGATGAGAGTTTATATTCTGTCACTTGGTCTTATGGAAATGGTGGTGGACAGCGTTGTCGTACACAATGATCCAAAATTTTCATACTCACCAAACCATTCATTGAGCCCTACTGCGCAAAGCATCAGCATTTGATATTTCTCAAATCTTTTATTCAGCTTTTTCCCTTAATCTGATGGCCCCATTTGCATGTCCCAGATAGCTGCAGTCAATCATAAGTCACCACATGGACCAGAGTCAGTCATCATATTCAGTTACAGTATGTTCACTACTTTAACTTTCCAACAAAAGTCCAATAGATCACATTTTTATGTGGCAAAAGTCTACATGGATGAGACAGTAACCTCTTAATCTTTAAAATGAACAGCGTGTGAAACCATGTAAAATCATTGATTTTTCCTCATCACCTTTTCTCTGAAAATAAGGAGCAAAGTCCATGTGTGTTCAAAGTTGCAACACTTACCAGTTTAGTGTCATCATGAGCTAAAACAGTGCCCAGCTCAAACTCTAAAGAAAAAGATGGTTTGCTTGATCCAAGTAAGAGGAACAGGTGCCCTAAGTTAAGGAGTTTAGTACAAAACCCCTTTGTGTGTCCTGGAAAGTGTTTTCATGATGAGCATTGGTAGCGGGATATATCATTATATAATATATATGACAACACTGCACAGCGGTTTAAAATACCATGTGAAAGGTTTTTAAAGGCATGGGAATTATGACTCTTGTCTGTTGGGAGTAGAGGAGGAAATAGTGTGACATTATTAAAGATACACACAGCCTGCAGCAGGAGGTCAGGGTGGATCGTTGTGTCAGCACAATGTTGGGAATTGACTGCTGTTCACTTCCTCTTTCCTACCAAAGGTCAATGCTGTTTTTTTTAACCATGACCTCAGTGTTTCCTTAACCGTAACCAAGTTATTTGAACCCAAACCATGATGGAACCAAGTTTTTTTGTGCCTATAACCAACCAAACCTTCACCACAACATTGTCAAAAGTTTTAATGAACAGTTATTTGTAACAGTTTTGGAAGGTACTCGGAAATGATCTCGTCCTGCTGATGAAGGTGTCAGATATGTCTTACACACAAGGCAATCTGGAAAGTGATGATCGTTTAGCCTCTCTTGATGAACTCCAGGCTTTAGCAGAGTGAGCAAGATTGTGTGTCTTGAGTGTGGCAAAAAGGAAAAAGTCAGACTCCGCCCACATCTGTCTGAAGAGCCCCCACCACTGCCATGAGGGTCTCATTTCATGCACAAACAGAACCAGCGTGGACACTGTTCATTTGTTTTGTTGTTGATTCTAACAGGGCCTTGCCATACAGGGTTGGATAGTACCTCATTATAAGTAACACAAAAGAGTAAAACAGTCATTTTTTAACAAGCTTGACATTTCACATTCATTTTTAAAACTTTTTTTACTCTTTACTCAAGTATTATTGGGCCAATAATGTCATTACATAGAACATCGCCGGTGAAACTGATCTTGGCTTTCACTCAGTAGGCTACCAGCTGTGTATTTATTCAGGAAAGAAGTTTTTGAGGAGAAGGCAGAGAGTAAATATGGGTGGATGAAACTGTTCTGTTGGGCTTTACACGTGAACAGATACAGGCAGCGATAGTACGCTTGGCAGCTAACAAGAAGTGATGTTCACAATACCTTCATGTAGATTAGTAAAATAATTGTATATATTTTTGATTAATTGTATAAAGAAATAGGTAAATTATAATAAACAGCAAAGCGGATTCCCTAGAAATAAGCATGTTGCACAGCAGATGAAACACTTATCATTCCAAAAAGAGACTTGAGACTTGACTTGGACTGTAAAATGACTTGTGAAGATCTCTGGCTTGCACCCAATAAACAATAATGAAACACTACGTAACTTGTACTTTCAGTACTTTCTTTTATAATTTTACTGGTTTGTCAAACAGTACTTGTTACAACCCAAGGGTTGTATATTTGTTGTGGTGTGTGTTCCTTCTTTCTCTGCTCTCTCTCAGTTGCCCTTCCCCCTTGCCTCTCCTACATGAGTGGCAGCAGGTGTGCCTGATCACCACTCAGTGCCTGGAGGTTAAGTAGGCTTGGGATAGCACAGCAGTTGTCTTGAGATCACAGTGCAGAACAGATTAGGATCTGCAATTCAGTGAGCAGAGCGTTGTCATCCAGCCAGCTCAACGGACAGTGGACGGGACAGCTGATGGTTTGGCCAGTGGGCTGAACAACGGCTTGGCGTGTGGTGCGCCCCTGGTGATCGCTCAGCAACCAGTGGGCCAGCCTACAGATCGGGCACTGCGTAGAGTGCTATGTAGGCCCAACTCTGTGAGTGAAGAGCCATGTGTCTGGGTTAGCCTCCTCAGTGGAGGGAGGACTTTAACTGCTTACTTATTTAGTTAGTGTTGAACATAACTCCTTTAGTTGCTTAGCCTGTGTTGATTATTACCGAACCGGTTTGATCGCTTTCTTCTTTTGAGAGAGTAGTTTTTTGTTGGTTTGCACAATTGTAAATATTGAAATAAATCTTTTTTTTTTTTGTTGGCACACTTATGGTTTCCTGTCCCCTCTTGCCCTGGTTTTATTTTAAATATTGTACTAACAGTATAACAGTACTTTATCCACATGGACCCTGGCACCTATTTCCAGGACAAGACACATGCCTTTGGTGTGAGAGACCCGGGTTCGATTCCCACTGTGACCCATCCACCATTGTGTCCCTGACACTTAACCCTTAGTTGCTCCAGAGGCGTGGGACCTCTGACATGTATAGCAATTGTAAGTCGCTTTGGATAAAAGCATCAGCTAAATGAATAAATGTAAAATAACATACCCAAAATAAAT